CTGCCCTCCCTTATTTCATATCCACCTGACCAACTTTACCTAACTTATCATCCTTGAAGATTGGCCTAATTTGTAAATAGTCACTTTCTCTTTCATCCTTTCTCTAAGGAGTCATAATCATCTGGCGGCACACTGTGTGGCTCATGCTCTCTAAGAACTGGGTCAGACTCTCAGTCATGCACTCAGGATTACCTGTGTGTATCTAATTATATTCGGTATGATATATTTACTCGATTTTACTTAAATGAAAAAGCCATACTGGCTTCCTTAAGCCCATCATAATTTAAATCAAACAAGTGTATGGCAAATACTGAACAATCTTGTCATTTTCTATTTATTCAGTCATTTTACAGCAGACTTTCTGCAAGAGTATTCTGAGTGTCTGTCTAGGAGCTTTCAGTGCTTTTCAGTGCAATAAAACTGGAAGTATGGTGTGTGAGTGAGAACGTGTTTGGCCAGGGATCCTCTGAAAGGGCTGCAGTGAAATGCATATCATCTGTGACCTTTCACTGGACAGTGGAGAGCCGTGATGTCATTAGCACCTGAGGCAGTGAGGCAGGCTCTCCGTGTGGCCGAGCCGTGTCTGGGGGAGGACAGGCCTGCCACTAATGATGGTGTCTGCCATGCAAAGGTCAACGGAGAGACCACGGGAGGGCTTGAAAAAGAAAAACTTGTGCCAAATATATAAATCTGCAGATTAAGAGTGGTGACTGGGCATTTGAGACTAACTGTATTGCTGCAAAGCCATGGAGAACTGCTTGATGCCTTTTTTTGTTGCAGAAACATGTTCACTTGGCTTGGTTCAGAAAGGACATATAAGTGATAAAGGCTTGAGCTGTAATCATTTGTATTATATTGTAGCAAGAGAAATGGCTCACAGGCACAATAGCATCTTTTTCACAGGCACAATTTTTGTAATCTCCACTATTTTGTCAAGAACTGAAGGAACAGACAGTTTTTAAAATGTTCACTCTTTTGTCAAGAATTGAAAATCTAAAAAAATGTATTTGCCTATTCTATTCTATTCTATTCTGAGATATTATAATAATTATAATCTACTATAAATATTTATACATACTGTATTGTTTTATTTAAATTTTTTTTACCAAGGCTTGTATTAGTTACACCAAAATGCTGTAGGTAAGTAACTCCAGTAAAATATCAATGGTAAATTAATTCTTGTAAATGTAAAAACTGCATTTATTTTAATGAGTTTGTTCTGGATTACTGACAGACCATTATATTAGATTGAAAAAAAGTCAGCTGCCATGAGATGGGTTTCCCTTCTTTGGAACTGAATGAAAGGAACTGTAAGAAGCTACAATTGAGGGAATGTCTTGATTGCTTTTTCTCTTGCTAAGGAAAAGTAGACTGGCACATGCTTGTCCTGCAGAGCGCTGGTGATGGAGAGAGCGCGAACATCTGGCTCAGTTCACTAACAGAGTTACAAGGAGCTGTAATCTGTCATCTTATGCAAAACAAACAGGGTTGAATTCACTAAACAGTTGCACCATTTTGGATGTAGTATTTCAAAACGTTTTTTTTTTAAATTCTTTTTAGTGCCTACTTTCTATGTAAATGAGACTCATCTATTGCACCTTGTTCACAAAAGACTATTGGTGGAATTAACGTTGCACTATTAAGCAGATAATTTTACCTGAACATCACGTCACTATGATCTGCTTCAAAACCAAACACATGTAATGAAGATGGTTGTATAACAACTAAAGTGCTACACTGACGTTAATGAGTTTTAGTCCTTGCAAAGTGAAGACCTTTGTCCTAAGTCCTTTGCAAAACTCAAACTTTCCATGAAAGTAAATTCATCTCCGGAGCCAGTTCTTCATGCTTCAATGCTAAGCCAGATTTTCAAAGTGTTTTTACGTGGAAATTTGTGGTCTGAAACCTTATCCTCTGCAATCTCTGTCACTCAAATCCATGTTGCGACTGGCATATGAGAAAAAGAGCTTATTCGTTTGATTTGCACAATAGAAAACACAATTTCTCTTTCCTTGAGAGGTTGAAATGGCCTGTGATGAAATGGGCCGTACAGCAGTTCGAAAAACAAAGACAACTTCTCATCTTGCTCGTGTCAGGATACATCATGCTCGCTACATCATCAGACAGAATGATGACTGGGTTGTTGAAATTTCGCAAATGAAAAATATTGCTGATGAAAATACATCAAGCTTCTCAGATGCAATCTGAACAAACGGCTCACAGGGTGGTGACAGTATTTAGCTAGTGTTATTGCGGGAATAATTTCACCCAGCAGACATTAATTCTTCAAACAATCTCTTTGCACGTAACCTTTGAGTTTTGATCTCAGCGTCAATATCCCATTGCTAGATTTTTCAAGCAGCCTTTAGCTAAATTAGCATCTACATCAATCCTTAATGGGGTTTCTAGCTTTAAACCTCAACACATTTCATGACCTGAATAACTTAATTCACAAACCATGAACTAATATAGATGTGATCTTATTTTTCATGTGCCAGTGCCTCTGCTCAACACTAACCTGACCTGAGGGTTTATATTGAGTCCAAGGCCCTTTTTCTCATTTAGTGTTGTCATAAAATTGTCAAGGTTTCCCAGCAGTGGGAGAACAGGTTGCAGTCTTTTATCCATCTGTTTCTGAGTACCGAGCTCAGCACATTAAGAGGTGAGATATGGGTAACAAGAACATATCATAGTCTCCAGTGAACCATAGTTCAGGAACACAGAGCTTACCTGAACTCAACTCTTCTCTTCAAAAATAAAAAGTGTAATGGATGTATTTTTGATCAAATATAGGCTATCATCATAAGAGAATGTGTCATCAGCATTAGAGACTCTCCCCCCCCCCCCCCCCCCCCCCCCCCCACAAACCATAAACTCCT